TCAAACACATGATTAAGAAAAACATTAACACAAATGTAAGATCATAAAAGTACTATGAATGAAGCCTAGGATAGCTCCATGGTCTAAACCCTCTCAAAAAAACCTCATAATTTCACATCGCCTCCTATGAAGTTGATGATCTTATTTTAAAGCTCTTGTGATTTTAGGAATTAATCTTACCTCTACAATCATAAATGGTTAATTAAGACGATAACAATGAGCCCCTATTGGATTTAAAAGTCATAGTTATGTTTGGAAAGTTTTGGGAGGGAGGGAGATAGAGATACAAGATGAAAGAAGGGGAAGGATAATTTAGAATGTTCAACTTTTTATCATCGACCCACACGTCCAAACAATAGGAAAGTGTATGAACCAAACTACTTCAATTGTTAAAGAGATGATTGTTATCCCTAGAGATTCTGATATTAATTGTCAAATGATTAACTGTATTTCGAACAATATTACCTTGCAATCACCGAATACTAATAAAAATAATAATAAAAAAGTCAATGAATTTCAACATTTTTTCCTAAATGTTATAACTAACCTTTTAGTCTTTCCTCGTTCAATCTCAAATAAAAAGTTTCCCTTTTCAATGTCGATTCGTTTTAATTCTCTCCTGATCAAGTTTATTTTATTTATTTTTTTGCTTATCGAGTTTAATCAAGCTTACAAGTTAAATCATCTAAAACTCAAGTCAATGCTCGAATATTAACTAAAAAATTTAAATCATTATAAATAGAGACGAGTGGATATATTTAATTTTTAGGTTGGAGTTGATAAAATAAAATTCGATCCTACTTGGCTCACACAAGGACACAAAAAAAGAACAGACCGGCACTGCTTTCCGAAAGCATATGAAAATTCATAATTAAATCTTATGTACAATGCGAGACGGTGGTGCATGCATTGTGATTTGCATCTTTGTAACTTAAAAAGAGTATGCCAAGTTATCATATGAATAGATTATTGAACAATCTTGTCAGATCACGCACCCCTGTTTGGTATATGTTGTTGAGCCTAATTAATTAAACTAAGATAGGGGAGAAATTGAGAAATCTAAGGCAGTTAACAAGCAACGTGGAAGATACTCTGCTTGCATTTTAGATTAATAAACTACAATTTGCACAATCATTCATATAGGCTCCTATTGTACCAAAATATTTATTCTTATGATAAATATACAATTTTAATTTTAAAATATAAATACCAACTGATATGTTTTTCCTTTTTTTTAATGTTTAGAAAATTGAAAAAGTAATGGACGCCCCATTGAGAATCCATGCAGATGAAGAAGAAGAAAAGGAATCTGGATTACGAAACGACACCGTTGAATGTAGTTTGACTTATAGAGGTGTTGGCTGAATCAATTAATGTAAGGACGTTCCCAACCACACTCCCACACTACCCGTGAATGAAAAATTGTTTTTACTTGTGATTTACCTTTTATAGGAAAAAAATCCTAATCCAAATACTTTTTTTGGGTAGATTGAATACAATTGAAACTTGTATATAATTATAATAATAATAGGACAACTATCGGACCTTACGTGCTTATGTTGATGGGGAAATTGATTTTGTGTTAAATACTTGTACGTAGCATAGGAAAACAAGTGAAAGCATATGAGAAGGTCACGTTATTATCTTTTTCTTTTGTCTGAAAATATTGTTATCTGGTTGGGACCATCCATCACTGAAAATATATGGTTTTATTAAGGAGTTGGCAAAACTCGACTCTATTTAAAAAATTAATTTTTAATTTTGAGTTATTCGATTCAAATTGAATTTTTAATTCGATTTTTGAGTTCGAATCAACCTAAAAATTTGAAATTTCGAGTTACTTGAAAAACCAAAAATTTGACTAAGCATTTTTACAGTTTTACGATTTAGTCACTGATTTCATTATTTCTTCAATTCCTCCTTCATTTTAAGTCTATTTTTTTCACCAAATTTAAACTACATGGTCCTAAACTATGGTAGAATACATATGTACTTTCAATTTCTCATTTTGATAATAACTTTTCTATTTTTCAATTTAATCCCTCAATTTTTCACAATCTCCTTATTTCTTCAATTCTTTTTTATTTTAAGTCTATTTTTACCAAATTTGAACCACATCCACATGCTCCTAAACCATCATAGAATACATATTTACTTTCAATTTTTTCATTTTAAGTCCATTTTCGTCATTTTTATTATTTTTTTATTATATGTGATTACAATGTCGTATATATTCATAATCGTTCTTAATCATTGATAATATATGTGGTGATTACAATATCATTTTAAATTAATTATTTTTTTTTGTTTCTTAGTCATTCAAGGTTGGGTTTAAGCTAACCATATCCATCTGCCTTATTGTCGAAACTTTTGTTTAATATTTCTCCATAAAAGTTCTATAGTGCGGCATCTTAATATAAGATTAAAATAAGACGCTACCGAATTTGTTATTTTTTAAATAACAAAATTGGTAAAAAAATATCTAAAACATTATTATTTTTTATCTAAAACATTAATTTTTTAACATTTATGATAAAAGTGCCGAATAATAAAAAAATCAGTAGAAAAAAATAACAAAACCGATAGCGCTTTACTAAATTTGTAAAGTGCCCAATAATAATAAAACCGATAGAAATAATAATAATAAATGGTTGTCCCTTTTTCCCTTATATATGGGATAAGAGGGAGGTAAGATAGTAGGCTACCCCCAACACCAGGTTGAGAGCAGCTTCCGTAAGAGACCTCCGAATTATGAAATGCCCTCTGTGGGACTCGATCCCACGACCTCAAGGTTAAGAACCTTATGCTCTACCAACTGAGCTGGATGGTCATTTCTTCGATAATTTTAATAATTTTTTACTGATTTTTTTATTTAAATAATAACAAAACCGAAACTAATAACATATTTTTTTAATCGTATATTAAGACTGTCGCAAATGAGGATTTCCCATTTCTCCTCCCTTTATTAGCAGACAAATCGGGTATTCAAAGCTGACACGGACAACAAATTGAGGGAAGAGAGATTGCTTGTGATAACAAAAAAGAAAAAATGGAGTAAGTAATCTGGCGAGGTGAGGTCCAATCATTCATATTCTTAACCCAAGACTAAATAAAGCACCAATATTGATTATTGTAATGCAACTTGCATACGTGCCATAGCAGCAGCAACAAGTTGCACATAAATAAAAATGATGTAGCAAACTGACGATCTAATTTCATAGCCCACGTAGGGTGTTGGAAAAAAAATTCTTTATATAGAATTCTAATCAAATTATTTCTTGAACTGAAGTATTTGTTATAGTGACCTTATTGGTCGTTAAGTGCTTCATTGGTCGTTAAGTGCTTCATAGGTCGCTAAGTATTCTTTGCGACAAAGCCTCCTCTGTTGCAACAACTCTTCTCTCTTCTTTCGCTGTTGCAGCTCCATAAATCGCCAAGTGTTCCATAGATCGTCGTGTGCTCCTGGAGATCTATAGAGGTCGCCGTGTGCTCATGAAGACCTATGGTAGCCATTGTAATAATCACCCTACTTAAGTAAATAATTATTCGACTGCATGTGAAGATTTTTTTTTATTGCATTATTCAACAACTTTTGCCAATTTCATAGCCAGCTCGCATGCTTCCAATTCAAGCGTCCAAATTACTTTTGTTTTTTTTTCATATACAACTTGATTTATTAATATCTATATTATTAAAGTTGCACATAAAGTTATCAATTTGATTGGTCATCATTATTAAATTACTGATTAATTTAATTACTTCACCACCGACGTTATTTGGTTCGTGCAAAATATCAACAATAAGTTCATTATATATATAATATAATTAATTTACCACCGAGGCCATTTGGTTTATGCAAAATATCAACAATAAGTTATATATATATTTTGGATTTGTAAACTCTCGACAGTGGCCTAGTAATTAGGAGTTTATTTTGTTCTCCTTATAATCCAAGATTAGACCCTCTGTAATAAAAAAAAAATACTATTTGGATTTGCAAATGCATTCAATAGACAAACTTTGCATTAATCTCTGCAATTATTATTTACAATAGGCAATTCACATGCATGATAAAACAATAATAATCCCTTATGGTCCTACACATCCACCAAGAAAAAGAAGAATACAAAACAAAATAGAAAGACATAAAGACTGAAACTCTAGGCCATTATTGGAGGAGTTTTGTAGTAATATAAGTTTTGGAGAGAGTGGGAGCATTTAAAACCTAAGGCATTTGCTTAAGAATTAAATAAATATAAATAGATACCCCATTCTAAATAACAGAGGAAAACACATGAAAAGTTGAAATTCCCATTCTGTGCAAAAAATATCTGAAGGAATCGGGCAATGCTAATCGATTATCGTTAGATGCGGGTATGACAACAATAGCATATGTGAAAATGGGTACCAGTTTTTTAATACATATGAAAAGTTTATATTGGATCTTAATGATTTACCCATTTTTTTTAATAATAATATGCCTTCATTATGATATTAAAAGGTATGAAGGAACGACAAATTATGCCGAGCCTTCAATCATGGATTTGGTTTTTTTTTTGGGGTATTGGTGCTTATTAGACTCTTGTATTTGATTGGGCCACCCTTGCTGGGTAAGACATCTGTGGGCATAGGTTCTTTATTTAAATATTATTGGTACTTTAGGTGGATGTTTTATTTAAATATTGAGCCAACTGACCAACATTACATATTTATTTATTAGAGAGATGCATTTAATTTTGGATAAAGAAGAGATGTATAATAATAGTGTCACTTCACAACACTCCTTTTCAGTCTGAACAATAGAGATTCTCTCTCCCCTAACATAATACCCAACACTTGGTTCTCTAGTTTCTAATCAGAAACTTAAACATATCTTGCTCTAGTCCGCCTTTAAATTCAAAGTATCATATTATTTTAGACGGTTCGAATACAATTAACTTGGAATTAAAATATAAGCATGTTTTCACCACACAAAATGGCATCTCGATAAGAGTAGCTTCCACATTTATTTCTATTCCAAAATATAAATTATTTTTAATGTATGTACAAAATTATAGTACTTGGTGGGTCGTATAATCTGTTTATATTTTTCTACCCAACCTACAAAAATTATGAATTTGAACCTCTGCTTCAATCACTTGGTCTCTATCAGGCCAAATGGGTAGAGGGTCATTAAGAGCAAATGTGATCTAACCCATGCATCTAAAGATCAATCACCCAGAATAGAAGGGTACCATCAAGCGGTATATCCATGGTCAATAACCAAGCAGGCATCCTTCATGTTCCTTGAGCTCGCTGATCTCCAACCGTGTTTTGTTTGAAGATCAGCAACGAGTCTGTCTTCATGCATGCTTAAATGTTAGTCAAAATGCAGTCTTGTCTTCTGAAGTAAATTGGGCATATATTTGCAGATCACATACTGTTTGCTCCAATTAAGGCCTTCACACAATCCTTATCAGTTGATGAGACAGTCTATTCATGAAAATCCTCATATGGTGAGGATCCACTAGAAGAGTCGGTTTCAAATGAAGTGATCTCCATCGGATCCATTGGCGATGATGGAAGTGATTCTCTCTGTTGAGAAGATGAACCTGAACCAGAACAAATTATGGTCAAGTCGGTCTAAATTAAATCCCTTGACACCTAATAGGAAAACCTCAAGAATTAAACCAGGGTTCGGGAAAAAAAGGAAACTCTTTTGTTTTACTTTCATTTTCCATAAGAAACATAAAAATGGTAAGTAATATGTAAAAGAGGTGGAAACTCATACATACCTTTCTCTCCCCTTGAGCGGAACTTCTTTGTGTGCAGCCTAATAAGTTTCTTGGCTTTGGTTATGGTCAGCTACCTGGCAAATGGAGAGAATTCTGCTTCACTTTCACTCCACTCTCCATGGAAATCATTCTCTGCTTCACCCCTCATAGTTTGTAGCACAAATTGTTTGGCTTTACGCCGTTGAGTGTTGAAGAGGCCCCTAATGGAAGTAACAAATCCATCCCCAACTCCATCACTTGGACGCTTAAGAGAGGTTATCGGATATGGACCAGGTTTCTCAATATGGTCATTGTCACTGAGATTGAGGTCACTATCAGGAACTCCATTTCCACTCGGCTGTTGAGTATGTGCCTTGTCTTTCTTCCCCTACCAAATACCAAATAATTAATAGGAAAGTCAGCAGATCTACATTGGGCCTTACAACTTAACAAATAAATTAAGCTTCATCATACTTGCTATGAACTACAAATTCTAAATACTAACATTGTTTCCCATGATGTCTCATTTTTACAATATTTTTCATGAAGCATTACAAATATCCAGGTCATAATTTTTGGAAAGCGAAATGGAAAGAGAAAGGTCAGTTCAAGGTTCTCTCCCTACTGGAGTCCCTTGGCCTGCCTTTGTCAATAATATGAGTAAAAGAGTTAGCAGGAGTGTTTTGTGGCAACGTTTCAAGCTTCATGGCAATGATGTTAAGGTTTTTATTCCTAGTGTCAATATGAGACCGAAGTACAGGGATTCAACGTTTGCTTTTGTTCACTTCGAGAGTCAAGAGGATCTTCTGCAAGCAGTAGCAAAGGTAGATAATGCGGGAGGAGAGTTTCGGTTAGGGTGGCGAAGTATCAGAAATCAGCAAGTGGGAAGTAGCAAATTAGTTTAGAAGATGAAGGGGCTAAGAAGAGGATGGCGTTTCAAACTTAGAGTTTTAGAGGAAAAGGCATGGTTTTCAATAAGCGTCATGATGGGAATTCTTATTGATATAAATTGATGGGGAAGAAGAGATTACCAGTAGGGGCTTTGAATAGGGTGACGAGTAGTGGAGCTTTGAACAGGGTGACGAGTAGCGGAGTAGTTTCAAAAGATCCCTACTATGTTTTCATCCCGGTGGAGGAAAGATGTTGGTTAAAGAGGGTGTTGATTGACATTCACAAACAATCGTATTATGTTGAGTTAATTCAGATAGCTCTGCACAATGAAAGTATAAACGTGAATGTGATGAAATGGGGGTAAGCTAGGAACTCATGTCTAGTTATTTTTCAGTCGAAATAAGAGCAAATGAAAGCTCTAAAAGAGAAAGCTTTGGAGTTAAATTTCTGGTTTGACTGGTTGAGGTCAGTTACCTCGAAAGGGGGAGTTCCTCTGGCGTTTTGTGAAGTGTCTTTAACTGGTGTACCTCTGAATTGCTGGAATGAAGTTTTCTTTTCCAGCTTGGCTTCTCGATGGGGGATTAGTGGAGATCAAGAAGGAAACACTACTGAAGTTGGATTGCAGAGTAGCGCAAATGGTTATTAGGGCGGCAAGTCAGTTTGATTTTCCAGACTCGATTTCAATCAATACTAATGGTAGGTTATATGCGATAAAGATTAAAGTAGAGTTACCAGTTGATGGAGATGCTGAGGTATTGAATAGAGAAAGTGAAGGAGATTTTTTTATGAATGAGATGATGGATCACTAGAGAATCAATTCGACGTGGAAGGGATCATGAGGGAATGAGAAGTCCAAGAGGTAAAAGAGACTTCCAAGGAGAGAGTAGAAACCTCGACTCAAGAACTGTTGACAGACGGTAAGAAGGATATCATTTCTGGAATAAATGAGGCAACTGATTCGAGGCAATTTAAATTGGTGATGACGATATAGAAAAGTAGGAAAATCATGCAGTCCTTATGCATAAGAGTTTTTATGGAATAAATGATGATAATTATGGGTAGATTATAGGAATTAATATAGGGTCGGATACACCCAATTTTGTTAAGGAAGATTCGGCTAGTATGCGGGCTAACCCAGGAACCAGTGAAGATGAATATGTCCTTGGATTCCGTAGGAGATTTAGGTCCTTGGATTCTATAGGTAGTTATGTAAACCGAATAAGGGCCTTAATAGATTCTCGTAGTAATAATATAAGACGGGATGAGGAGTCAGTTTCCCCGTCAGGGTCCTATGTCCAGAGAATGTGTCCTTCTCCAAATCGTGGTCGCACGTTAGAGAAGAGTGTGCCAAATAGCAACATCGGGAGCAATCGTTTAAGAAAGTGTATAGTAGGAGAATGGGAAGGGGAAACTCAATAGAGGACAAGAATGATCTTTTGAAGTCTCCAAACCAGTGTATGGACGAGGGGGAAGAAGTCCGAGCAAGCTGAGAAGCTAGCAATTTGTTAGGTGTAACATTCCGATGAGGTAAAAAAGCTTTTATGAAAAAGGTGAATGACGTGATCGAGGAGAGTTCAAAGGGGGGTGGGATTTGATGTCATATGGGTAGCAGGTTTTTTTTGACTTCTTATGACCAGTATAAGTATATTATCGTGGAATGTGAGGGTATGGGGATAAGAGAAAAAGCTCAGACTGTGAGAAATTTTGTAATAGGAAATAAACTAGTAATGTTGTTTATCCAAGAATCAAAGGTGGAGAAGATCAATTTTTCATTACTAAGGTGATTATGAGGGAATATTTTAAGTGGGTATGAGGAATCTCCTGCGGTAGACTCAGCAGGGGGATTGATAACTCTTTGGGATAAAAGCAAAATGGAGGTGGAGGTCGAACGTGTTCAAGAGAGGTTTATTGCAGTCAAAGGTAATATAAAAGATTTACATGTTAAATGTTGGTTTATTAATGTGTATGGGCCATCAGTGGATTCGGAGAAAGAAATTTTCTTTAAGGCATTGTTGTCTTTTGTGTTGCAATTGGACGGTCTCATTTATTAGGAGGTGACTTCAATATGTATCTGTCACAAGATGAGAAAATAGGGAGAGGTCAATATAGGTTTGCGATGAGAATCTTTAATGAGTTTGTGTAGAAGGCTAGTATGAATGATCTCCATCTGTCGGGTGGCAACTTCACTTGGTGTAACAATAGGGAAATCTCTACCTTTATTAGATTGGACATATTTCTGGCAGATTCGAGTCTCTTGTCAGTGTTTCCATTGCTTAATCAAAGTGTTCTCATGAAATCTTTATCTGACCATAATGCCATTAGTTTGAAAAGTAAAAGTTTGGATTGGGGCCTGAAATCATTTAGGTTGTTCAATTATTTGTTGGAAAAGGAAGGCTTCGAAGAAATGATGGTGGAGGAATTTTATAAAGCCAAGACGGGCAGTAGAAGAAGAGGGATTTCGAGTATACTAAAATGTTCTAAAGCGGTTATGAAGAGTGGTCTAAAGCCAGTTGTAGAAAAATGCAAGGATCTATCTCGGAACTGGAAAAATTTATACACGATTTGAACTCGACAAGCAATAAAGGTCCTCTTCAGTCTCTATGGAGTATTTGGGTTTGGCTAGAAGGAAACTTTGGGATCTGCACAAAAAAAGATGGTTTGGCTGCAGAAATCTTGTGTAAAATGGTGTTTGGAAGGCGATTGAAACATTAGATTTTTTCGTAGGAATGGTGAACGTTATTAAAACGCTGAAAGTGGGCATTCAATTAACAACATATCCTAAAGTTATTAAATTAAGCGTAGCAAATTTTTTTCAAAGAAGCTTATAATAGGAATCCTACAGTTGAGGTAAAGGTATTGGATTTCAATTTCTCCAAGATTTCAGATAAGCAGAATTTGTTTTTGGAAAGACCATTCTCGGAGGAAGAAGTTTGGGACGCAATATCATCATCGGATAGTAACAAGGCGTCGGGGCCAAATAGGTTGACAATGGGATTCTTCAAAAAAATTCTAGCCAAATTAAAAGAGGGCATTTTGAGGTTTTTCAGTGACTTATATGTGGGGAAAATGGGGAAAAGTGGTAAATCACTCCTTCATTACCCTTATCCCGAAAAAGACGAGTTCGTAAAGTGTTAAGGATTTTAGATTGATAAGCCTAGTAGGAGGGCTTTAAAAGATTTTGTCAAAAGTGTTATATAGTAGATTACAACAATGTAGAATATGGTTGTTAGCTCTTCTCAATTTTCTTTCATTCTAGGAAAGAACATTATGGATTGCTCATTTATTGCGAATAAGGGTATTGATTGTTGGAGAAGGAAATGCCTTAAAGAAATAGCGTTTAAGATGGATTTCAAAAGAGCGCACGATTCATTTGATTCAAATTTATTGCTAAAAATCATAGATTGTATGGGGTTTGGATAGAAGTGGAGATCTTGGATGAAAGTGTGTCTGTCTATGACTTCAATCTCGGTCTTAGTGAATGGTAGTCATTCGGAAGAGTTTCGGATTGTGAAGGGTCTACGACAGGGATGCTCTCTTTCTCCTATCTTTTTTAACTTGGTCGGTGAATTATTGAATTTGATGTTGTCAAAAGCTGTGAGGTTAGGCCTTTTTTTAAAGGATTTGAGATTGGAAGTTAGGGTAATTTCATTGAGCCCTCTCACCTCCAATTTGCAGATGACTTATTAATTTTTTGTAATGCTTCTATTGGGGAGTTGAAGAATGTGAGAAAAGTGCTTTTGATATTTGAGATGATGTTTGGAATGCAAATTAATTTATCTAAGAGCAGGTTATTCGGAATCAATGTGAACGAAGAGGTCATTAGCGAGTGGGTTGATATTATAGGGTGCACAGTGGGCTCATTCCCAGCAGAGTATTTGGGGTTACCTCTTGGGGCGAAAAAGAATTAAGTATCATTATAGGACCCGATTATTCAGAAGTTCTACAAGAAATTAGTGTATGCTCGGTATGAGTACTAAATATGGGTGCGGATATATGTGCAAGTATACACAATTGAACAAGTAATACAGTGATAAGTGAGTATCGTCTCCATAGGGATTGGAGGAAGTCAAATAAGTTCTATCAAAGCGCATTACTTTGTCACCTAAGTAAAGTTAGTGATGGTATGTACAAATGATAATGCTGTGGCAAAATTAGATGGATGTTGTGGAAATGGAATGGTGGTATGGTAGCAAATGGAAATGTCGTGGAAAAGTGGATGAAAATGTCTTGGCAAATTAAATTGTGTTGAGTGCAAACAAATGGAAATGTTAAGGCAAAATGAAATGTAAATATACGATTTGATTAATAGGACTTTGTCTTTCTCGCACGACAAGCTACTATAGGAATGAGTGATGGGAGTCACTCTGGAAAACCTAAGTTTACTTCTCGGAATGATCTTATCTCTATGCCT